TGTGTGGGCCGTTCCTTCTCCTGCGGGGTCCGCGCGCCCGGCTGCCCCTCAGAAGTGCGCCCGGGAAAGGAACGTCCGGCCCCTCCCGCCCACAGGTCCCGCTCCGCGATGCTTCTAAACCCCGGGGAGGAGCTGGAGCGGACTCATTCATCTGCGCTTCTCCTGCTCAGGGAGAGGGCCAAAGCCCGGCCTGGATCCAAGGGAGCTGCATAATTCTTCCTTTAGGTGCATTCTAGTTAACCTATTTTATAGAGCATCTACCAGGTGTCAGCTCCTAGAATGATGTTTTGATGGGGGAAAAATGTGAAGCATAAGCTCTCAAGGAGCTTGCAATTATTTAAGAAGACAAGATTACAGTATAGTAGTATAGAGGTATATAAACATAGATATAAATATTTCTTTAAATAGGTGTGCACATATAATAGGAACAGGCCTAGGAACCAGGAAACATCCATTTCATTCTTTGCTCAGCACACAGTCTTTGGGCGTCAACTCCTCATCAATAAAAGAAAAGGTCTGGTTTGAGATATTTCTAAGCTTCCATTCCACTCTAAGATGCCTAACTTTCCTGAACTGCACGGGCATGTGTCAGGTACCCAAACTAGACCTAAGATCTTCTGAAGCCTAATCCAGTTCTCTTCTCATAAGATCAAGTTGTTTTCTGCTCTGCAGTTTCTTTTCAAAATCAGCTCCCCTCAAAATAAATGCATTTAAATTTCCAGTTGGAGCAAATTTTGGAGTAAAAAGACAAACATAGTTTTAAAGCATGAAAATAGTGAAGTCAATGGGTATAAGGCAATCATTCCTTCTGTTTCTTCCCTACACTCCATAAAATTCATCTACCCATTATCCCTACAAAGAAAAGCAAAAATAAACTGAAAAAAGTAATAATGAAACAAAAACTAAACTTTAACTTTAAAAAATGTATCAAAGACCTTAAAAATTCTAATGCCCAACTAGTGTTGCCCATTGCACAAATAGATATTTAGAAAAGAAAATATCCTTGTCTATTCCTGGCACTTAGGCTTAGTATGCCTAAATTGGTTCAATATTTCTGAATATAGTTCTTTAATCCGTTGAGAACATGGTCTAAATAAGACGAATCTCTCTAATCCAGATATTGTGTTAAAATATCTATATAAAAGCAATAATCTTGGATTATGTGTTGATTACATAAATTATACCTTTTTGCCAATCTTCAATACAATCATTACTTTATAAGAGTTCTGTTATTACAGCCAATTAAACACAAAATGAAACTAAATTAACCATATGTTAAACTATATTATTTCCAGTATCAAAAAAATGTGCACTTGAAGCTCAACAAACACCAGGCAGGTAACAGCTGGCCTCAATATTCCTTCCTGTGCCTTTTGCTGAGTGGCCCCAGGCCCAGCACAGGTGGCAGCCAGACTTGGGGCACAGCAAGGCCTCTCCCACATGCCTCCAGATGCAGCCCAGGCAGCTACTAACCTCAGATCACTTTGTAGTCCCTCCCAAGAGGCCTCAGAACCACTACTCCTGATGACTGGCCTCAGACCAAACTACCAGCTTAGCTCCATAAATGGTACACCCAAAGGGTGGGCTTGGCAGGCACCAGAGCCCCACGGGGGCAATCCTGCTTTATAAAGTCAGCCCACGCTGTAGTCATGGCCAGTTCTCACAGTCAGTCAGCCTTAGGGTCAACCTCAACCACTGACAAGCGAGCAGTAATCAAGACTCAACTACAATAGGAAGGCGCACACAATCCACACAAGGGACATTCCCGGAGCACCCGGTTCAGGAAACTAGGGAAACCGCACCCCTAGACCCCACAGAACACCTACATAAAGCCATTCTGCCCAAACCGGGAGACATAGCAGATCTACCAAGTATATAGAAATAAACACAAGGAGGCAACCAAAATGACAAGACAAAGAAATATGTCCCAAATGAAAGAACAGAACAAAACTCCAGAAAAATAACTAACTAAAATGGAGGCAAACAATCTACCAAATACAGAGGTCAAAACAATGGTTCTAAAGATGCTCATGGGAAAAATAACGCAGTGAGAACTTCAACAGATTGTAAACATAAAAAAGTACACAGTTACCACAAAAAAGAACCAGCAATTTCACTTCTGAATACTTATCCAAAGAAATCCAAAACATTAACTCGAAAAGATATATGTATTCTTATGTTCATTGCAGCATTATTTATAATAGCCAAGATAAAAAAAAAAAAACTTAAGTGTCTATCAATAGACATCTTCATAAAGAAAATGTGGTACACACATACGATGGAATATTACTCAGCCATAAAAAAAGAATGAAATCTTACCCTTTGCAACAGCATGGTTGGACCTAGAGGGTATTCTGTTAAGTGAAATAAGTCAGGCAAGGAAAGACAAATACCATATGATTTCACTTATATATGGAATCTAAAGAACATTATAAATAAACAAAACAGAAACAGACACATAAATACAAAGAAGAACCTAATGGTTGCCAGAAGGGGGGGAGGGTCACTTGGTGAAATAAGTTAAGAAAGTAAGAATTTCATTTAGTAATAACAAAATAGTCACGGGGATGTAAAGTACAGTACTGTATAGGAAATATAGTCAATAATATTGTAATAAGTATAATATTCTAATAACTATTCCAGGTGAGTACTAGATGTACGGGGGGATCATTCTTAAATTATATAAATGTCTAGCCACTATGCTGTATATGTGAAACTAATATAAAATAATAGTGAATGTCAACTGTAACTGAAAAAATAAAAATAAAAAATGGTTAAAGAAAAGAAAAAGTCCTAAGGGGAAATTGTGAACTATTTATAACTGAATAGCAATAAAAGCAGTAAACTCCCAAATGTTATGAGTTGCAGCTAACATTATAATTCAAGGGACATTAATGATCTTAAATGCGTATATGAAGAAAGAGAAAAAGAAATACCTCTTTCTGATTTCTCGACTCCTATTGGGTTGATTAAATATTCTTCAGCATTTTCCCTTTACTGGTTTGCTATTCCTCTTTCTTTTAATAGTTATTCTTAAGTTTTTAACATTTGTGCATCAGTTAACAAAGTCAAAAGTACTCAATACCTTTTCTCTCAGCAATACAAGCACCTTAGAGTAATCGCTAAGCTCTCCCATCTTCCACACGTTTGCCTAGTATTACAGTCCCACCTTGTATTTAATCTCCTCCTTCCTGGAGCCCTCCTCCTCCAGCATCCATAGGCTTCCCTCTTGCATGCCCTTCAAGTATTTGTTTAAAAGTCACCTTCTCAAAGACTGATCACTCTGTTTGAAATCACAACCCTAATACATACTCAGTGTTCCCAAACTCCTTAGGCTGCATTCATTTTTCCCATAGATGTTTTCACCTTTTTAAAAATCATACTATAGAAGTTATTATGTTTATCATTTATTGTGTGTCTCTCTTCAATGGAATTCCAGAGAGGCAGATTGCTTTGTTTGGTTCTTTATGATTGTAATTCCAAGCACCCAGAAGAACGCCTGGTATATAGTAGATACTCCAAATACTTAAGTAATTCTAAAGACTATATACTTTTACTGGTGTCTTTAGAATAGACTACAGGAAGTTAAGAGTGGGAACAAAGATCCACTAAGAAGCCTTCACATTTATCCATAAAATCAAGGACATGCCATTTTGCATGATGAGCACTGGTCAAGGTCTGAAAATATAAAGACAAAGCCAACAAAATTTGCTAAAGGGCCAAAGCCTTCAGAGTTTGAGGCCTGAGCAACAGTTAAAAATAAAAATAGAGGCGCCATTAACTGAGATAGGGAAGATTCTGGAAAGATCAGAATTGGGAGGTAGGGTATCAGAAGCCCAGTTTGGATTATGTATGTAATGTTAAAGTCACATACATTGCAATTCTCCATTAGCAGATAGTAGAACAGAAATAGTTATTGCTCAGTAGAATTTCCATTGGGATCCTTGTATTTTCTCCCATTTTATAATTTAACTTTCTGCTTTTTATTAACAAATAATGACTAGTGACATCAAAGTTTTAGGTGTTTTTTTTGCTTGTTTTGGTGGCAAGCTTAATTGAGTAGACTACCAGTAGATGTAAATATGCCCTCACTTAAATTAAATAGCATTGTAAACAATCTCAAATTATCAAATCAAGATATTTATTTGAAACAGCAATAATGAAAAATGTCATTTAATGTCACAGAAAAAATGCTGATTTATTATTGAATAATAATATATAATGGGTTTAAAATGTTAAGCCAAATGAAGTTGATTTATATTGCAATGTAAGTAAAAATAAGCAATCAAATGTACTCTGCCCTAGTCTTCAGCATACCAACTAAATCAGTCCTTCATCTGAAATTCCCTAGTCACAAAAAATGTAAGTGTTCCAAATATAAGTATCAAAAAGAAGAGATTTTGTCTAGAGAAAGTACTTGGCTATACTTTCTATGTGTCTGTTTTTTGGGTTTTTTTTAATGGTTTATCTTTATCGTTGAACATATTACAGATGTCCCCCTTCCTCCTACCGCTTTGACTCCCTCCCCACTCCACCCCCTCCTCTTCCAGGCCTTCATCACACTATTGTCTGTGTCCATGGGTTATGCATATATGCATATAAATTCTTAGGTTAATCTCTCCCCACCCACTCCCCCACCCCCGCCTTCCCTCAAAGATTCCTCAGTCTGTTCCATGCTTCTGTGTCTCTGGATCTATTTTGTTCATCCGTTTATTTTGTTCATTAGATTCCACCTATGAGTGAGATCATGTGATTCTTTCTAGGCAGTCATTCTCTTTAGATTCGAAAACAAGCAAATTACTGAATTATAAATTTCTGACAAAATAATTTAGAACCACGTGATCCAGTATAAGCTTGCTTTATTCCCAATCTCTGAGGAAACCGGCAATATGATGTTGCAGTTTATTTCAAGCAATAAAAATGCAATACACAAAAGCTGAGTCTATGAAACTAACATACAGGGTTTTGCACAGGCCTGGTCCACTGTCAGCACCTGATACATATCGTTCTTTCACATAACACGGTGCTGCCTGCATGGTGCAATCCAGGCGCCCTTCGCGGTGATTCCAGATTGGGCCCACAGAAAGCACCTTCAGAATGCTTTAATAGCTGCAGCAGAGGGTAACTCAAGGCTTCCCCCTGTAGCCCAGGGCTTTCTGACCAGCTACTCCCGCCGCCGGGTCGGCCTCCCTTCTGGCCCCGCCCCCGGGCCGAGCTCCTGCGCGTCCCGCGCGGCCGCGTTGGACTCGAGCCTGGGCCGCGGGAAGGAGCCCGCAGAGCGCGTGGTGCCAGGCGGCTCGGGCAGCGGCTGGCCGAGCCGTTACCAGTCCGTGGAGCCAGGCAATCGTCTGCGTCTTGCCATGGTTCTAAGGAATAAATTAAGTTGCTTTTGGATTTTAGGTTTCTGCTTGGTAGCCAGTAAATCGCCTCCCACTGTCCCTTCCATAAACGACCGGAGTTTCATAGACGACTGTCTCGCTGCTCACAATGAAATACGTGGCAACGTCGAGCCCCCCGCGGCCGACATGAAACACATGGTGAGAAAGAATCAGGCTGGAATTGTCCTAAGGTACCTTGGCGATTATTTCTATGGACGCATATGAATGAATTCTGTCTGGCCTTTCAGCATGCAGTTAAAAATCACACCTTTGAGCTGTCTCATGCAGGGTGGTGACTGACGGAAGGGAATGAGAAAGGAAATCTTGAAGCTGTTCTTTCCCTAGACTTAAATATGTGTGTGTA